TATATATATATATTTTTCCGTAGCCCGTAATGTATTTCCGTTTCTCATGTAATGTATTCCCTTTCCGTTCTTTCCATTTTTCTGCCTCATTTTCCCACTACTCAGCATCGCTATCGCATTAGAGAGAAACCAAACGAAAAATCGAAACAGAAGGATCGCGCCTCGTTTTCGCGATCCGATCGTAATCTTGAGCCGCCATCCATCCATTCGACCACTCTCTCTCTCTCCTATCTTCCCTGTTTGTACGAAGTTCCGCCATGGCATACTCCATCCTGCGATCCCTTCTGGCACTTCTCTCCTCGTTTCCGCTTCCCCTCTCCAACGTGGCGCCGTCCAGAATTCGCTGCATACAACGTCGACATTCGTTCCATCGACAAATGCTCGTTCCGGGGCGATGTCGATCTGTTCTCGAAAATTCCAGTGTTTAGTCAATAAAAGCAGCTCTCGTTTCACTAATATAAGACCATCTTGCCTTCTTACTACGGTTATGTTCGTTCCTTTTTTTTTTTTTTGTGAACTCCTCGGAGGAACGTCTTTTTCGTCGTTTCTTCGTACTTGTCCCCAATCTCTCTTTTTTTTTTCTTTTGTTTTTAGGCACAACACGTCGTTTCTGTAGTCTTTATAGTCTTTTGGTTGTTTCACACCGCAACCGTAACCGGTATCAGCGTTTGGTCCTAACTTCGCTACAGCGACCGCCACCGAGTTTACGTTTACGAGTGGCTAGAAAGAGCAGCACTCGCGACGGAAGGCCGGAGACTCGCGATGAGAAAATTTCGCGCCCCCGTTTTGCCTTGCCTACCTCCTCTCACACCGTCGATGATATCGTACGTTCGCCGTCCGAGCACGTCGCCTATTTCGATTCCGTTACCGCGTCTGCCGACGATCATCCCCGACGCCGAAGGGACGACTTTCTTGGTATACCGGTCTTGCGTTCAAACTCGCATCACCCTGACGAACGTCAACTGAGGATCTTCGATTCTTTGACGTTGGACACGGAGTGATCGAGGTTGTTCCCCTCCACATTTTCGGTGGCCGCGCAGGGGCCGCAGGTGCAACAAAAGTCTCCGGGATCTTCGAGAGGACAGTAAAGGCCGTAAGAGCAGAGGTAACAAAATCCGCACTCGTACCTCTGATACCAACGGCTGTAAGAATCGATGTGGTTGAGTCGGTTGAAGCAGCAACAATCGGTGGCCGCGATGGTATCTGCGGTAGCGGTGGCGACGTCTACGGATACGACGTTATCGCCGATATCGTCGCATCACGAGGAGCATGCCATCCAGTTGCAGGTGCACGTGTAGCACGCCGCCGTTGGTATCACGGGCGCGTAGTAATAGCCGTTGGCGTAGACGTAGGTAGCAGGCGGACCTTGCGGCGCCTGCTGATGGCTCGTCAGCCGCTGCTGCTGCTCCTGGCAGAGCACCTGGTAGGCAAGATTCTGGATCAGGGCGAGGGTCTGCCGTCGCTCGTGGCCCATCAGGCATACCGTAGATTCTTCGACGACGCTGTGTAGCAGCATCAGGTACTGATACTTGAGGGCCTCCTCCTCGGGCCCGACAAAGTGATTCCATAGGTAATTTTCGAGTTTGGAGCGCTGCTGTCCTATGTCCGGGAAATCGATGAAGAATCTCGAACACATGTACCGTTCGAGGGTCTTGATGTAATCCGGCTGAGACGGTTTGTACATCTTCACCAATAGGTTGCAATATTTGAGCAGGCCGCCACCGCGTATCTCCTCGGGATGCCTCGTCGAGATGAGCTTCTTGTGCAGATGGTAAAGCGCCTCCTGGAAATCCCCGTAGACGGACTCGCCCACCACGGTCGGATAGAAGTTCTCGGCGATCGGTAGCTTGCTGCACTCGTAGAACAGCAGCAAAGAGTCGAGGACAATCTGGAAGGAATCGACGGAGAACTCGAATTGCCGTCTCATCGAGTCGACGAACTTGAGCTCGACATTTCGGTGGCCCCGCGAATTGCCGAGGGAGATCAGGGACCACCGGTCGCCGTCGTTGTTCACCTTCACCATCTTGCTAACGTAGGCCTCCTTCAGGCTGCACGTGGTGATGCGTTTGCGGCTCACGCCCTCCGGCAGCAGGTCGAACAGGGAGCCAAGCACCGCGGCCTTGACCTTGTCGTAGTTACGACCGCTAGAGAGTTCGACCGCGAAGATAAGGTCCAGATCGTTATAGGGCTGGGACTCGGTAGCCAGCACATGGGAGGCGGCGCCGCCGTTCAATCGGATGTCGCGTACCCTCATGCCGGCGCCCCCGTTGCTGGGATCCGTTTCCAACTTGCTGCGCACCACAGTCACGAGATCCCTCAGTCGAACCTCCAAGGTAGGAAAGTTTCCTCGGCCATGAATGCTGACGACTTCGTTCATCACATCGTTCAGGCGGCGTACCTGCTCAAAGCTCAGCACCGCCAACCTTTGCTGAGGATCCGGACAATCAGCGGCATTGCTGTTGTTATTGTTGTTATTGTTATTGTTGTGGGTATTGTTGTTGTTGTTGTTGTTATTATTATTGTTCGCATTGTTATTGTTGGTCTCGTTGTTAATATCTCCATTGCCGATGCCGTTGGTCTTACTGCCGGTCACCTGGCAGAGCGACTCCATCATAGCGACCCGACGCTGGCGTTCCTCGCCGATCTCCAGAGAGCCACACTGCAATCACAAAAAAAAAACAAGACTTTTATGCCATTCTTCCTTGCAAGCGATACTGTGTAGTATGTAAATGAACACTGTCAATGTGTCATTTCATTTGATTAATTCTATATCCGTGGATAAGAAAATATAATTATCGTTTACTTCTAGTTGTAAACAATTTTATATCATTTTATATGAGATATCTGTACGAAAGCAGAAGACGAAAATATCTCTCCCGCACGATTTTCAAATAAAATACTTTTAAAACTATTCCTCTTGGGATTTCTATTTTTAGCACTAGCAGATTCTATTTTCCAAAGTATCGGATATTTTTCTCTAAACGATTTATTACCATGTCATGTTCGCATCGTAATCTTTAATAGCGGCAATAAATCTTAAACGCGGACTTTTTTCTCAAGCCTATTATATTCATCTCATCAGTGAAAAATGGTCGCTTAAATATGCAGATATGCAAACACGGTTATATTATTACGGATAATTGTATCTTTTTGATAAATGTGTAAACCATGATAACTAAAGGTCTTCGTATGCTAATGCTTTCAAAACTCGCGTGATGTTGTACAATGTCACACTTTGACCCACAGAGTGCCGGCGATCCGCGGGCGGAGGGATGAAAGGTCACTAAAGGTGGAAAAACGTCTCTCGCGCGCGTCTGATGTATGTGTGTGTGTAGTGTGTGTGTGTGTGTGTGTGTGTGTGTGTGTGTGTGTGTGTGTGTGTGTGTGTGTGTGCGTGTGCGTGTGTGCAATGCCGCGTAATTTCCGACGAGTCCATCAGCAAGCGCGCCCTTCGGCGAATATCTATGTCATGGTGGCTCAAAGTGTACGAGTGCACGGCGAGAGAAATGCCACGAGGTTACGTCCGGGTGCGCGGCGTACGCGAGTGCCCCAGTCAGTGGCGGCGTGTATTCAAAGCCCTCGGCTATTGGCTTTCGTATGGGAGTAGTGCAACGTTCGGAAAAGCGCAACAAGTCTCGAGCGCCGGTACTCCGCGGCATAATGCCGATATCTCTTTGACCGTCGGAATTGCACGATATTCCAAGCGCTCACGCTTTCTCAAATAATCGCGGTCGGAAGGAACGGAAAAGGAACGCGAGCGACGTTGGTTGGCGATTCGAAATGGCGACAGTGCCGGGAGACAGTTCGAGTATATTTACAGATATCCCAAGATCGCGATCTTGCTTCCCGGCAAAAAAAGAGAATCAGCGCTACGCAATGGGGAATGATGTCATTCGTAACGAATTCTAATTCGTATCCTTCCCCTCTCCTCCCTGCACACGAATTGCTACGCGGAGTTTTACGCGGCGCCAACTTGTCGCCAGAAATCAGCCTATCGATTATTATCAGACTTCTTGTATATATGTATATGTGTTTGTAGATAATAATTTCTTTAAAGGCAATTACGTCATGAATCAGACTCGTTATGAGACGTCACAAAAGATATGTTACCAGGAATGCAGTCTTCAATCTCAGACAACCTTTAAAGATGCAACGTAAAATCCAGATACGCTAAATGTTGAATATTAATAGAAGTTGCGAGGAAAAAAAAACGGACAGCCTTCAATCGAAAGTTTACCAGGAGTGTCTCTCGAATCGCAGCTGATCGAAGATCGTGGATGAAAGGAGTCAATGGGGACCGGGAGGAGGCGCCGCGAGAGTTCTAGAACGTCCTATCTGTCTATACGCCTGAGAAAGCTGGCGTTGTGGATGGATTCAAAGAAGCTCGCGATGGTCGAGACGCGGAATCGGGAAGTTCAGAGTGAAAAACTTTGATAATATATTAAACTACTGAAATTAGTTCTGATTGAATGTCACAAGCAGATTGATTAAATAGAATCAACGGCGACAAAATGCATTTCCGTCGAGGATTATTCGCCAATTCGAAACGAATGCGCATTATTTTACGCGTATATCCGAAAGTATCAATCTCCCCAGCTATCAGTCCTCTTTATTCAGCATGACTGACAACGCTTCGAAATAACAAAGCAAGCTATCATCTCTATCAGATACTACGCACAATCAAGATCATGGATATGCCTTTGACGCGCACAAAGTAAAGCGCTATTACCGCTTATTGACAGTGAATAACGCGGAAGAGCAGTATTTTCCCCCCACGACATTTTCGCCACGACTGTTCTCGACGAAGCGTGAGGATCAGCCCGTATTTTTGATAAATCATTTGTAAATTTGTATTCAGCCAGAAACGTCACGTTCCCCAAAATTTTGAGTCTCGATATACAAAGGACAACCGGTGATCGGTAGATCAGAGTTATTGTATCGCACTATTTCCGTAAAAACGACAAACTCAATATACCAATGATTTAATCGGTCCTAATTCGCTTGAAAAAACTGAGCGCTTATCACAAGCAGAAAGGTTACGCACGTAAATCGCCAATTTTCGAATGCTAGTATTATTTGTCTAATCTCGTGCCATCCGCGGAAAAGAAGATGAACGAATAAACGAATCTCCAATTGGTACGCACCTCCGTTTGACACTCTGACACCAAGAACGACGGAGAAAAAGCACCACTCGATTTGAAATGCACACCGAGCACGCTATCACCGTTCTCCCCGGTGGTATTGTTCCCTTAACGCTGGGCACGCGATAACGTAAAAAGCAGTATCCTCTTTAAAAGACTTTCTCTCACGGGTGATAATAGTACAAGCTTTTTTCCGTCCTCGCTCTCTGAGAAACTTTACGTCCGACTATTCCGAGTTTCACGAGCGTTGCGTGTCCCGATCGACGCTCTTCGGCGTGCTTCGGCGTAAGACGCAATAATGCATGAAAGAGCTGGATCTACCTACGGATCCGCCGGTGCGACGCGAACGAGACGAACGCGTTTCCCAGAAGGCCGCGAAAGGCCGCGTAAAAGCAGCGGCGTGCCGAGAAACCATGAGAGATCGCGACAAAGAGGCAGGCTGTCTGTGTACACCTAGGAAAATACACGTTGGAGCGGACGGGTATTACAACGTCGTGCTGATCGCGCCGCTTAAAGAGACCCGCAGCTGATGAGAGACACCAGCGAACTGAGGCCCGCGCGAGTGAAAGGCGGAGAGGAGCGGCTGGACTTGGTGGTGGCAGCAGCGGCAGCAACGGCAGCAACAGCAGCAGCAGCAGCAGCAGCAACAGCAACCGCAGCGGCGGCG